GGGGGGGGAGCACCGGCAGTGCCCCAGCCACCACGGGCAGACGCTGCTCTTCCTCATTATGATGGTGGCCGCTCCTCCCTCACCGAGGCAGGCAGCAGGTGAGGAAGAGTGCAGGCTCTGGGTCAGGATTGCTAGTGATGTCGCTGGCCAGCTGCACGAGCTGGAGCAAGCTACTGAACACCTCTGGGCTTTCATTTCCTCCTTTGAAAACCGAATACAGTCATCGTATTTACCTGACAGTTGATGTGAAAATTCAATGGGCACATGTGAGCATGCTCGTGCATGCATGTGTGTGCATGTGTGTGTGTGTGTGTGCAGGCACACACAGACCACAAAATGTTTAGAACAGTGCCTGGAATAGAATCAATGCTAAAAAAAATTAAAATGAGGGACTAGCAGTTAGCATCATGGCTATGTTGCTGGACTCCCACGTAGGCAACCGTGGTTCGAGTCCCAGACCCAGTGGCTTAAACTCATGCCGGGTGCATGTGTGTGTGTGCCCAAGATCCCGAGAGGAGAATGGAGGAGAAGGGATTGTGGTGTGGCCGTCCCCCCGGGGGGTGACTTCTCACTTTCTGTCTCTCTGTCTCTCTCTGTCTCTCTGGCGAGCACAGGCGCCCTATAGTAAAAACCTCTCAAAAAAATACATTAAAATGAGTTAATGTTATTCATTGATTTTTAATTTTCAATCTTAATCTCATACACCTATTCTCTGATCACCACCTCCCTCCTTCCCACTCTACCTGGCCCTCCAGTGCCATAACCCTTCGACCCCACAGAACCTGCCATTGCTCCGCTGCCCCTCCACCCTGGTGGCCCCTCTCCTCTCATTACCCTGCAGACTCAAGGTCAGGGTACATAACCACTCCTTTCACATGCCCTCTGCTCCCTTACCCTCTCACTTCACCTTCAGGTACATTTACAAAACCACCTGTCTGGTTAAATCGAGCCCCTCCTCTGTTCCTGCATCCAAGCAGCTCGAAGCGGCTGGACGGAAAGCTGGTATCACACCAATGGCTCTCATTTCCCCTCAGGGGGCCCTTCCTGTCACCGGAGACCTCGCCGTATCTCCCAGGCCACTCACTCTGCCATGCTCCCGGGCAGTGGTTTCATTTTCCCTGCCTTCTCAACTCCAGTATCTCCTCCCTCGTCCTCTCTGTTGATATTGCTTCCTATGTCACTGGGAGAGGACGAGATGGACGAGAGCTGCCCTGAGGCTCTCTCCGCGCACGCCTGCACCTGCCAGCATCTGCGGTTCCCACCATGCCTCTCCCCATCCAGGCCCTAGCGCCTGCCGTCCTTGCCCACTCGACGACCGCGTCCCTGCAGCTCTTCCCCCTCTCCTGTGTCATCAGTTTTCCTGAATTCAGCAGGTCAAGAACTGAACTCCTGACCTTGCACTGGAAGCCTTCTCCACCTGCGGCCTCTGCCACTCGGTGGAGGGCAACTCCAGCCATTCAGGATCAAAGCCTTGGAGTCATTCTAGCTCTTTCTTTGTTTCTTTTAGTTTTTTGGGTTTTTCATTTCTTATTCACATTTAATCTTTGTACCTCTCTATAGCACATAATACGGTTTTTCAGAGTACGCACGCCACAGGTGACCACTGAACTGAAGGTGTCACCGTACACGCCGTGTGCCGCGGAGACTCCTCTTCCTCCACTCTGCACAGTCGATCGATCTACTGGCTCCACTCTCAAAACACATCCAGACTCTGATTGCTCCTCGCCACTTCCTCTGCCCCTCACGCCCCCTCCAAGGCATGAGCCACTACCGTCCCCTGCCTGCATGATGGCTCCTCGCTCATCTCCCTGTCCCGACCCTCGCCTCTTGCAGGCTGTCGCTGATATGGCCACCACAGGGGGACTTTCAACACACGACGAGCCAGCCACAGTGGCACAGCAGACCCCACCGTCCATGATGCCGACGCCGCTCGGGAAGGGCCCTGGTTTCCATCCTGGGGCCTCCTCGTCCACGCCAGGCACATGCTCCCATGCCTACGATCCTGGCTGGCTGAAGCAGAAGAGGACTGCAGCGAAGATCCTGTTGGAGAGCCCCCAACCCCCACCGATCCTGTCTGTTTCTCTCATGGAACAAGCAAAGCAAAACAAAATAGAATAAATACCACAGGTCAGATCCCTCCTCTGCTTACCTCCTTTCGGTGGACCCCCGTTTTCACTGAGAATCAAAGCCCAAGTCCCTGCAATGGCCAACACCTCCTGACTCCACCACGCCCGTCCCTCCCTACACTCACCCCAGCTCCTCCCCTCAGAGGGGGGGCACTGTCTCCATCCCAGGCCCTGGCAGGCATGTTACCCCACGAGACCCCTGCGACGGCGCTTCCCTCTGCCCACAGACGCACACTGGCAGAACCGCGCTCCTTCAGCCTTCGAGGCTGCGGGCCCCACCCACACTGTTCAGTGCTGCGCCCAGGCCCTGCCCAGCCAGCACTCCCACCCCCTTACTCTGCGGTGCTTTCTCCTGTGCCCTGTACCTGTCGCCCTCCGGCATTCTGTGTAATGCTCGCTGTCTGTCTTCCCTATGTCGGCTCCCACTCGCCGCTCGGCCAGAACACAGGAGCCCATACGGGCAGGGACCTTTGTCCTGTGAAGTACCCTAAGCACCATAAACAATGCCTGCCACATAGCTGGCCCTTAATAAATAGCTGTCAGGTTGAAAGATGAATTCAAGTCTCAGCAATGTCACCATCTTCTTCTTCTTCTTCTTTTTTTTTTTTTTTTGGAGAGATTTTTGCTATAGGGAGCCTGCACTCACCATAGACAGAGAGAGGGGACCAATAGGTGGCATAATGGTTACATCTCTGGACTCCCACATACTTGATCATGGTTCAAGTCTCAGACATGGTGACTTAAAACT